GAGAAATGCTGAGCTGAGCACGACGAGCTAATGATTCCGATCCTAGCCTAGTGGTGGGACTTCTTCCTCCTTCTCTATGGTTGCTCATATGAACTCTGCAGCTCGCTTGTTGTTGTTGTTGTTGTTGTTGTTGTTGTTGTTGTTGTTGTTGTTGTTGTTGTTGTTGTTGTTGTTGTTGTTGTTGTTGTTGTTGTTGTTGTTGTTGTTGTTGTTGTTGTTGTTGTTGTTGTTGTTGTTGTTGTTGTTGTTGTTGTTGTTGTTGTTGTTGTTGTTGTTGTTGTTGTTGTTGTTGTTGTTGTTGTTGTTGTTGTTGTTGTTGTTGTTGTTGTTGTTGTTGTTGTTGTTGTTGTTGTTGTTGTTGTTGTTGTTGTTGTTGTTGTTGTTGTTGTTGTTGTTGTTGTTGTTGTTGTTGTTGTTGTTGTTGTTGTTGTTGTTGTTGTTGTTGTTGTTGTTGTTGTTGTTGTTGTTGTTGTTGTTGTTGTTGTTGTTGTTGTTGTTGTTGTTGTTGTTGTTGTTGTTGTTGTTGTTGTTGTTGTTGTTGTTGTTGTTGTTGTTGTTGTTGTTGTTGTTGTTGTTGTTGTTGTTGTTGTTGTTGTTGTTGTTGTTGTTGTTGTTGTTGTTGTTGTTGTTGTTGTTGTTGTTGTTGTTGTTGTTGTTGTTGTTGTTGTTGTTGTTGTTGTTGTTGTTGTTGTTGTTGTTGTTGTTGTTGTTGTTGTTGTTGTTGTTGTTGTTGTTGTTGTTGTTGTTGTTGTTGTTGTTGTTGTTGTTGTTGTTGTTGTTGTTGTTGTTGTTGTTGTTGTTGTTGTTGTTGTTGTTGTTGTTGTTGTTGTTGTTGTTGTTGTTGTTGTTGTTGTTGTTGTTGTTGTTGTTGTTGTTGTTGTTGTTGTTGTTGTTGTTGTTGTTGTTGTTGTTGTTGTTGTTGTTGTTGTTGTTGTTGTTGTTGTTGTTGTTGTTGTTGTTGTTGTTGTTGTTGTTGTTGTTGTTGTTGTTGTTGTTGTTGTTGTTGTTGTTGTTGTTGTTGTTGTTGTTGTTGTTGTTGTTGTTGTTGTTGTTGTTGTTGTTGTTGTTGTTGTTGTTGTTGTTGTTGTTGTTGTTGTTGTTGTTGTTGTTGTTGTTGTTGTTGTTGTTGTTGTTGTTGTTGTTGTTGTTGTTGTTGTTGTTGTTGTTGTTGTTGTTGTTGTTGTTGTTGTTGTTGTTGTTGTTGTTGTTGTTGTTGTTGTTGTTGTTGTTGTTGTTGTTGTTGTTGTTGTTGTTGTTGTTGTTGTTGTTGTTGTTGTTGTTGTTGTTGTTGTTGTTGTTGTTGTTGTTGTTGTTGTTGTGGTTGTTGTTGTTGTTGTTGTGGTTGTTGTTGTTGTTGTTGTGGTTGTTGTTGTTGTTGTTGTTGTTGTTGTTGTTGTTGTTGTTGTTGTTGTTGTTGTTGTTGTTGTTGTTGTTGTTGTTGTTGTTGTTGTTGTTGTTGTTGTTGTTGTTGTTGTTGTTGTTGTTGTTGTTGTTGTTGTTGTTGTTGTTGTTGTTGTTGTTGTTGTTGTTGTTGTTGTTGTTGTTGTTGTTGTTGTTGTTGTTGTTGTTGTTGTTGTTGTTGTTGTTGTTGTTGTTGTTGTTGTTGTTGTTGTTGTTGTTGTTGTTGTTGTTGTTGTTGTTGTTGTTGTTGTTGTTGTTGTTGTTGTTGTTGTTGTTGTTGTTGTTGTTGTTGTTGTTGTTGTTGTTGTTGTTGTTGTTGTTGTTGTTGTTGTTGTTGTTGAAAGTACTCCTGCTGCTGCTGAACTGGACACCGCCACTTACGTTGATTGAATGAGCACCGTTCAGTGGGACCGCGTCGAATTCGATTTTAAGGTCTGTGTTAGGGAATGCGCTGTTTTCAGACATTCGACTATCTGCTATTGGTCGAAACCTGACCTCTTTTCGTAATGCTGTACATTTCGGTTTTTTGAAATTGCGTGGATTTTATAGATCCTGTGGAGATCTATCCAGACCTGATGTATGTGTTGGTAGAGGGAATAATGTAAACTTTGCGGGAGACGATGTCTCAACACTCGAAAGCAATTTTGTGAAATATGAAGTAAAACAAATCCTAGCTGGTTCTGCAAGATAATTTTGTTTGATTTTATTTATTTGTAAAGTCGCCAGAAAATACCAGCTGGCGATTTGTTTTTTTTTTTATGATAACTCCTTACTTGAAAACAGGCAAAAGCTCACAAACAGGCTGCTTTTTCATGGTATACAATGTGATAATTCAATAATCGCCCCTGCCAGCCACTTCAAATTGAACTATTTTGATCAATTTTTGCCTGAACATGTTAACCCGGTGCACAGCCATTCAAAATTGAAAGTTTTTATCGTTTTTTCAGGTCATGTTTATAAGGGGCAAGCTATTTCAAATTTAACGATGTTTTATCCCTAATCATGTACATCAATTTTTAAATTTTTATTTTTTTTCTGATTTGATTTTTTTTTTTAATTTAGACCTGAACATGTTTACCAGATTCAAATTTAAGTGTTTGTTCAATTTTTCCCCAAACTTATCTAGCAGGGACGTAAGCCGATTCAAATTTAACTTTTTCATATTTTTCCGTGAACTTATCAAGCCACTTAAAATTTAAAATTTTAATTTTTTTATTTTTTTTTTCCTGAACTTGTCTACCAGGCTAGTTATTTCAAATTTATATTTTAATCAATTTTTCAATCCTCAATTGCAACGATTAATTCCCTTTATGCTTAGATAAGATTTAGTTTAAGTTTTTAGTTTTATGTTTCCATTTGTTATACATGTACTGCCCATAATCGCATATCAGTCCCATATGGATAGGAAATCCAGCAAAGATGGGACTGATATGCGATTATGGGTAGTGTAGGTTTAAAAATCCTGTTTAAAATATTGAATTGCCAAGGCAGGAACAATGTAAAAAATACTCAGATATAGGGGAAATGTAGGTTATGTCGGCCTACATGTCCCTAATTTGGGCCCATACATAAATTCAGCAATCGACTAAATTTTCAATAGCGATCAAAAATATTCATTAGTACCGTCCTAATGACGCGTTCATCTAGATAAAATTGATAAATAGCAGACTTTTAGCGATGGGCCCAAATTAGGGACATGTAGGTCGACATTACCTACATTTCCCCTATATCATAACAATTAAGGCTGGTAAGCTACTGTAGTAACTGGAGCACCTAGTTTAAAATGAAATGTAATTTATTTTGAATTTGGAACAGATGAAGAGTTGCAAAACAAAATATTCCCAGAGATTCTCTGGACATCTCTGAAGTGTTCTTTGCTTCTCTGATGTTCCCTAAATATTAATAATTTCCTTAAGCTTATGAAGTTTTCGGATCATTTATAGAATTTTATTAATATCATATAATCCCAGAAAAATATCACGAAATATTTGCCGCTTGCCAGTTTGGTGTGTGTGTCTTCACTATGGTCATTATAAATGTTAATTTTTTTGAAACCAGTACTCGCGCCACCACAGGTCTCGGTGTCTTCGGTGCACTTATTTCTTAGGATACCAGTAATAAGTGCTTCGAAGACACCAAAACGAATTGACGGTAATGTGCACTTTTATCACACTTTTTAATTTTTTTCAGATGCAACCAGCAATAAATACCACAGTATTTAATGCAATGCAATAGATAATTTATTGGATTTTTTATTGGTTTTAGTGCTTACTATGAATACCCGCTACTACGCACAACCACAGCACTGATTAAAAGCTCATTCCTAATTCTGAACAACTCTTTGTTTGTGTTTTTCAAACATCAAAAATAATTAAGTTTTAAGTAGGGTTTTTGATCTAATTTCCATCCTACTAAGCACAACCCGCGCTTTACATCTCTTTTCTGAACGAGTTTTAACAAAAAATGGAAAATTTCTGTCAAAGATGACTTGCAAATTTATTCACCTTTCCATACGTACCGTTGGATTTGATAAAGAGTCACACATTGTTGAGATATTGTATAAAATCTAACACTGCTTCTTGATTCTAAATTCGTTCTACGAGTTTCAATTCCGTCCTAACGCATTGAAACGCCATTAGATTTACTTCGTCCTACGGATAAACGTAGAAAAAGGGGATTCGCTAGGAGCGCTTCTTTTGTTTTGAGAACAATGAGCGTAAATATTCATACAATGCGCTCTAACAGGATTTATGTTGTAGTTAATGAACTAACGCATCGGAACAAACCTACATTAATTGGTGCACGGTGAAATCATTGATATTATTGATCTTTTCTGATCGATAGAACGGAAATGGGCGATTACGACGAAGTAGCGCTCTACCCTACATATTTTTTTTAATCTCATATCAACCTTCAGCATTAAAAGTATCCAATCGCAGTAAAATATTTATTGGCAGCGGTGGGATTCGAACCCACGCCACCGAAGTGACTGGTGCCTTAAACCAGCGCCTTAGACCGCTCGGCCACGCTACCGTTGTGTTTCCCAACCGTCACACATCCCATCAAAATCCCCATCAATCGACACAAATAAAAGAAACGCTGCCAATACCCCGATAAGAATGGCCCTCAATCTATCTACCGCCTGCGTGCTTGTCTGCTCTGTAAGCGATAGCAGGAAGTCGATAGTAGAAACGATCACCCACCAATAATCATACAGCCAAAGTGGTTGTTGTAGCGCGCATGCGTGTTTCAGTCAACAAAAACCGATTCCGTGTTTTCTTACGCAGAGGACTTTTCGTAAACCACGTAAGGGACTAACTACGTAGTTTATGAACAACCCCCAATTTAGGATTTGAATTCATCAAACAGGCGGGAAATTTGAATCGCTCGCATGAAAATGACCGTTCGAATGACTCTGGACCGAGATTCGAACTGTGATCGTTGCTTGCGGTTGGGGATGCATTTTCTTTGGTACGTGCCGCGCAGAATCCGGCACTCATTCTCGGGGATCGATTCGACGCACCTGCGCAGCAGCCTATTGAGTCCTCCCCGTCGACCAAAAAAAAAAAAACCCCCCGATAGAGCCGGAGCGAGCAAGCTCATCAGTTCTCGACCGGTCGCGACTCTGCTCGGACATCGGAAAAACGTAAAACCTCGAAAAATAACCCACTTGTGAACCCGCGAAAACGCGCGTCTCGCGATCCGAAACACGTTCCATCTCGCTTGCTCCTACGTGTGTGCGCGGACGGCGGAAAAATTCCTCAGCAATTGCAGAAAGCGAAAAAATGGCGCCCCTAGTGCTGTGCTAAGGCTACTCTCACAGGGCAGGATCGATTCGGATTGATTGTTCTTCAGGGTCTAGGCTAGAGTGCGATTAGTGCGTGCGTTTGTGTGTGTGGGGGAGGGGACCGCCGGGATGGGAAATCAACCGACCAAACACTCCGGGAAGCCGAAGAAAGCCGTCCACTGGAAGTCGGCAGGTGAGGATTTTTCTTTGAGGAATGAAAATTTTCGCCTCTCGATCCCGTCGAAATATGGTTCATGCATGGGGACCGAAACCGACGACGACGACGACGGCGAAAGGCGAGAGAACCGAGCAGCCAGGCTTATTTTTAGACACGAGTCAAATATTTACAGTTGAAACACAATTTCACTGGTGACTGGTTTTCTCTGGCAGAATATAATCACACGAATTGGGTCGGGGAATTTATGGGAAATTGCAGGGGGTGGGCTATTGAACACGCCTCAAGTGATTGATTTTGTTGTGTTCTTTCCAGAACCACCTTCGCCTCCGGGCAAGCCGATGCTGGTTCCGGGATCACCCAACACGACCACCGCACCGGATGTGGTGACGCTTCGGTGGAAACGGCCGACCAGTGATGGCGGTTCGCCAATTCTCGGCTACATCATCGAACACCGGCGGACGGGTTCACCGCACTGGGTTCGTGCGACCGCCCAGCTGATGCAAGCCACTGAACTATCCCTGAGCGGACTGGAGCCAGGATGGCGCTACCAGTTCCGGGTAACGGCCCAAAACATCGTCGGTCAGTCCGAATGTAGCGAACTGTCCGATGCGTTGGCAGTGACACTGCAGCGAGCTGCCGTCGCTCCACCACGGTTCATTCAGGAGCTCTACGACACCACTGCCATCGAGAATGAAAAGATGGAATTCAGGGTTTCCGTCGCCGCAACTCCCACTCCGCAGATCAGCTGGTACAAGGATGGGTTCGAGATATTCAGCAGTCGCCGTACGAAGATCATCACAGAGGCAGACATGAGCATATTGATCATTCACCAGACTGCACTGACCGACGAGGGAGAGTTCAAATGTACGGCCACCAACCGAGTAGGTCATGCAGCAACCACCTGCAGTCTATCGATCGAAGCGTACCCCAAGATACGTCTACCACGACAGTATGAAGAAGGTCTGATCGTGGAAGCCGATGAAGTCATCCGGCTAAAGGTTGGCATCGCCGGCAACCCTATTCCGATAGTTGAATGGAGTCACAACGGAGAGCTGCTACCGAGCAAAGGACGCTACGAAATCGAAACCAATGACAAAAACTCGTCCCTCCGAATTGCCAACGCCCAAAGATACGATCGTGGTGAATACAACCTTCGTGCCTACAACAAACTCGGTGATGACTACGCATCTTTCCTCGTAACGGTAACGGCCAAACCGGAACCCCCTGGCAAAGTCCACATTAGTGTAGGTCTCAGCAAGGCCGTCACCCTCAGCTGGTCTGCTCCGGATGACGACGGTGGTTGCAAGATCGGTAACTACATCGTGGAATACTACCGCGTCGGTTGGGATGTCTGGCTTAAGGCGACTACCTGTCGACAACTCACGACCACTCTCAGTGGCCTCTTTGAAGGCTCCCAGTACCGCTTCCGGGTGAAAGCTGAAAATCCCTACGGTCTCAGCGATCCCTCCGATGAATCCGACACTCTATTCATCCCGGATCCGAAGCGTGGCATTAACAGCGCCACCCAAATACCCGAAGTGGAAAACAAAGAAAACGAACCTCTTCCGCAGGCGGTACCCCGAAAACGCCGGGATGCTTCCAGCTCCCCGTCCAGGGAAACCGAACAGATCAAAAAGGTCAAGGCTTTCTCTCCGGAAACCTACAGCCGGGACGAAATTGTTCGCGAAATGTCCTACGGAACCCGGGACGAAGACTTCTTCCAGTCCAAGCCAACCACCGAAGCACCCAGCCCGAAACCTCCAGCCGTTGTAATCACCGAACCTGCCCCCATGGAACAGGAACCTCCGGAACCACCGAAGCCACAGCGACCGCAATCGTTCGCATCCCCGCTGCAAGCGATGCAGAAATTCTCGAAAGAAGCCAGTCCGTTTTTCGGCAGCGACCAATCCCAATCGGATAATCAACTGTCCCCGGTCGGAACGCCACAGCAAGCCACCTCCCCTACCGGTGGTGACGGCAAGTCGTCGAACATTCACAACAGTAGCGAATTCATGCTGGTGCTGTACAACGAACAGGAAGCGAAGAACAACACACGTAAGTGCATCCTTTCTAAAACTTATTTCTAACCCAAAATTGATGGAATGTGTCGGGAGTTTCTTCGCTTTTGATTTATTTCGGTTGTTCGGTTAGACGTTGAGAGTTTTTGAGAATATTTGAGTCAGAGCATCAATGACGTCGCGAAACCGTCTGCGTCCGATGAAGGAAAGCGCGCAAAAATAGAACCCACGCTAATCACTTATCTCCCGGTCCCGTTCTCTCTGTTTATGTTGCTGTCTCGCTTTCCCCCTTCGGTTGGGAGTTGGTGGAGTGCACGGGTGCGTTTTCCTTTTCTTCGTGGGATTTGAAATGTATACGACCTGCTGATGGATCTACAAACTGTGGTTGCGATATGTGAACTGGGGAAGAGCCATGTGTTTGATTTGACCTGCTGTGGAATTGAGGAAATTCAAGGGGTGCGTCACTTCACAATGGCAATGTGAGCAGTTCCATACCAAATGACGAATCGGAAAAACTTGATCATTTGATCCGATTTGCATGAATGTTTGCACAATTGTTTGCTATGGAATATGATTCACATTTTTGCTAATTTCAATCGGAGCGATCCAAGGGGTGCGCTGATGTTTTGGTATTTTTAAAATGGATTGCTTTGGAAATTAGATAAAATGAGATCTATACAAAATAATATGTGTGCAAGGGGTCTTCAACTATGCACACCTTTATCTGTGTCAAGAGTTTTGGCTGTGCCGAAAGCTGTGCCAAGCGTTATGGCGATCATTCCAGAGTTGGCCAAAGTGTATAAATCAAGGTGTCAATATCCCATGAGTTTGGCAACCCCGAAGTTAGACTTTTGTGAATGTGTTTACATTTTCAATTTCTCTAATTCGTGACCATGGTTCATGGCAAATATTAAACATCATTATCATTAGAATGAGAGCGGATTGGGCAGTGAAAGAAACGGACGGTGGACGAAATCACCAGCTGCCAGTAAAATGCTCCCCGACAAAATCAAACCCAGAACTCGAACGGACGAAAGTTCACTCCCACCCTAGAAACAACATCCTCGAAACAATTCTGATCGACTCAGAACTACGCTACCTCGAAGACATCACCAAGCCTATCGTATTTCAGATTATGATGTCTCCTACCATCACCCAATTACATAAGATCAAGCATATCAAGTTCGCGATCCTTTGCAGAAGTGATACCTTCCACAAGATACCACCAATCAAAACCAATGGCCAATGTACCACCAGTGAAAACCATCAAATGTCCCCCACTTCATATCTGTCATACCTCGGAAATGGTGCACGATCCAGATAAACTTCGGATCTGCAGTTCAACTGTACCCTGTGGTTGTTGTTGTTCATCTGCACGCCCATGGGATCTTGCTGAACAGCAAATTACTTAGTGTCGTGGACTTTCGAGATTGAACAAGGCCTTATAATTGATTGATTGGTAGGCCATCCATCGCACCGGGTCCTTTAGAGACGAACTAATGCAACAGAAGAGTGTAGATTAGATCGTTGATGATGGGGTGTACTCACGGAATAGAATGTAATTGCATTTTGATTGCATTGATCTGTTCCTATAAATCCTGTACTGTTTTGCTAAGGCAATCGTCTAGATCTGATGGAATATTTGGAGTAAATACGTATCGACTTACCCCAATAAGTACTGGGACTTGTATGGACATTAGACTGATGCAAGATTTGAAATTTTTGCTCCACAGTGCTCAAATGGTTCCAAATTGGGCCCTGATTTGCCTCCCAAAATTTGAACTCATTTAGTGAGAAACTGACTTGGCACAAACCATTTGAAGTATATAATTTCGGTTCACATCTATCTCAAAATTCACCAGTTCACTCTACTTTAAAATATGATAGCTGAGCTTGTTGAATTTTTTTTCAGCTACAACTTTGTTGAAAACCACTCTTCGATCAAATGTAAAGAACATAATTTCATAACATACATAAGGTCACTGATGTCTTATGATTATGCTCAATTAACTGTTCAGCAGGTAACATTGGTGTTTATCGCGCGTAGAATAGAGGACAAAAACTAATGGCTACTATGTCACACTGCAGAATACAGTGTTGCTCACAATACAGTTGTTTAATCTTGCCATAAGATTATCATTCTCTTACACAAATAATAACTATTCCATTTGACGTTTGGCTGAACAACGATTATCTGCAAAGTTGTAGCTGATAAAAATTCCCATAAGAATAGCAATAGAATTTGTTAACAGTACAATGTGTAATAATGCTAGAAGACAATGAACAAAAAGTGTTGTTTTCCCGTAGTAATTTCCATATAAACTTCAAATGGTTTGTGCCAAGTCAGTTTCTCACTAAATGAGTTCAAGTTTTGGGAGGCTAATCAGGGCCCAATTTGGAACTGTTTGAGCACTGTGGAGCGAAAATTTCATCCCGTTAAAGTCCTGTGGATTTCTCATCGAAGTCCATACCAATTGAAACCAATGACTGGCAAGAATACCTAAGGAAAAACGTAGAAGTAAACGATGAAGTTTTCATCCCGGAAGACCCTTGGCAAGACCGGGATTGAAACCTGGCTGAAATACAAAACCCATCACCCACACCACGTATGATGTTGTTTTTTTCTTTATCGTTCGCACTGAATAACAACCTTGTAAAACAAAACAAAAATCTTCCGTAACTGTTACAATATTGTCGTCGTTCAAATGATTGTTATCCATTCAGTTCACCGATTGCATTACAGGCATTTCACTAACCGTTGCTGGAGGGAACCCATTTTGGCCATCTTGACTGTCGTATCGACCCTCTTGACCGACCATGGTGTGGAAGAACTCTGTTGACGTGAAGCTGGACGAAACCACGAGCCGCTGGAATTTTATCTACGAATCGGATGAGATGAAGTTAGTTTTATGGTGCAGACAGGTGCAGGCAATACTCGCAGCATTTTTCCTTGGAATCCGAACCCAATGTGCAGGCACGTAGCCCTGGGGGGGGGGGCTATGGGGCTGAAGCCCCCCGCCCAAATTATTATAATCATGTGAAAAAGAAAAATCTGACCCAAGATAATGCATATCTGTTACCTGTACTGTACAGGTAATAGATATCCATTACCTGGGTAAGGTTTTTTTTTATTTTTCATATTATATTTAAATAATTTATGGACGAGGCTTCAGGCCTACAGCCCCCTCTGGCAATGGGACTCGGGCTGTACCTATATAGTGTGCATGAACAATTTATGTTTGCAGCGATTCGGTTAAAGATTATGGGACCATCGAGTTTTTACGAAAGATCAGCCTCGTTTCACTTCCGTAGGAACTAGGGTGTAGACCCAATTTGTAGCCTTCTAAACACAATCCGCACTGTACCCCTCTTTTTCAAGCAAGATTTAATACAAAATAGAATGTTTCTACAACAAATGACTTCTTAATTTATTTACCTTTTAATATGTACCATTGGATTTAACGAAGAGTCACACATTGTTTCTATTTAGATTTTAACTCTTCAATTGTTCAAAATTCAAAATATTAACCCAGGTGCTCAACTTAGTAACTTATCTGCTGTAATTTTTATGATATGAATGTAAGTGATTTTAAATTGTTCCTGCCTTGGAAATTCAGTTTTTTTAAACAGGTCTTCTAAACCTGCATGTCAATTCACATCAAAACTAAAAACTAAAACTATATCTTATCTATGTATAAAGGAAATTATTCGTTGCAATTAAATATTGCAACGATTTTTCCATAAAATTATTAATTATTTTGTTGGACATTTCTAGATAGAGCTGGAATTAGGGCATAACAGCTATTGTAAACAATGGCTTCTCTCGATGATTTCTCGAAAGACATGGCTCTTCTTGGCAAATCAACATTACCATCGAATAGGGGAAGACTTCCCCTACCCGATGGATAAGTTGATTTGTGTAGGGGTGCCTTGAGTTGCTAGAAGTCGACGAGAGAATTCTTTGTTTACAAAAGCTGTTTCGCCCTAATTCCAGCTTTATCAAGATTTGTTCTAAAGTCTCAACATTCGAAATTCTATGTACTTCGGTAGTACTGTACCAGGGAGGCAATTTCAAAATCATCCTCAGAACTTTGGTCTTAATCCTTTGAAGTTCTTTTTTCCTGGTAGTGCAAGATTTAGACCATATTGGCACAGTATAAAGCAGGACCGGTCTAAAAACTTATTTAAATATTAGAAATTTATTCTTCAGGCAATGTATGCATTTTCTGTTTATAAGAGGATACAAACATCTTACATATTTATTACATCAATGTGATCTTTCAACACAACCACTTTCAAAAGGATTACAATCTAAATATGTGGACCTCATATCGGCTCTTAATCATGCGAGCAGTATAATACAGGTTTTTAAGGAGAGACGAGCTGACGCTGAAGTAAAATTTGCTGAAATTTTTAATGCAGTCTTTCGAATGCGCAGTTACGACTGCACCCACGTGCATCCAAGCTAACAATACGTGCAAATCAACCAGTAGAAACACCAGAGGAATACTATCGAAGAGCAGTTTTCATTCCATGACTCGATGGATTGATCCAAAACATGATGGGACGTTTCACAAAAAATGATGACATCCTTCCGGTGTTCCAAATATTGTTGCCTGGTTTTATTGGAGAGTCATCCCAACTTGACAAACTTAACTGTTATCTCTGTGATTTCACAAGTGCGGTTGCCAGAGTTGTGACCTATCACAATCACGATCGCCAAACAGTTGATGGTAGTAACGCTTTGTACATTCCTATCAATGTGCTCGTCGAAGCTCTCTCTATGACCATCCATCAAGTTGACGAAAGAAGTAAAAAGCAACTGGTGAATGTCGTCTTCTGTTGTGATCAATCACCGATCTGGTCATTCCCGATAATCACGACACTCATCTGTGCTCGTTTTGAAGCAGTTGCTACTTTGCTTGCTTATTTGAGTGTGTTGGTGAGTGAGCCCAACAGCTTCCGTTTCTTGTTGCCTGCTTTGTTTGTAACTCACACAGTCGCACCTGCCGAGACGAACTTTGAATGCGTAGGCAT